AAAGGGTTGAAACGCGTGGGTGTGGATCATCTTTGAAAGGGAATCCATTATCTCTCAAGTTCATTATTGTCTAATCAAGTCATGATGTTACTCTTTTTTTTATGGGTCGTATCAAAGCCATGCTTCTACATGGCATAGTCTCCTTCCACCAGCGCCTAGAAGACTCAACTCCTCGTCCTTACGGAGAACATCCATTTTCCGACTTATTTATTCCAATACTCGGAGAGCATCCGTAAAATAAGACAGATCACATGTGCCCAGTCGCGTGACGAAGGAGATGTGGGAGCCTGTTTTCCGTGCCTTGCCGACAAGCCAAATACTATTGAACAGCCACACATGTAGTCGATGTGCTGCACATCGAGTCAGTCAGAACCGATCCACTCGGTGATAGCTCAGAATTAGGTCCTTTCCAGCTGGACTTCCTCAGCTCCGATGAAATACACCGTGCCTTGCCGTGAAACAGGGTACATCATTAAGCTCAAACGCCGAACCTGCACACCAACTTGGCGACATCTATACTTCATAGTTCTCAAAGTTTTTAGAACCAGATCTTAATCAACTCTTCACTAACAGCACTTGGTGTTAGGACACCACTGTCTGTGATCAAGGCGGATATGAGATGGGGCGGTGTGAAGTCCACCACATCCGAACTATGAGCTACCGACTGTGGCTTGTGGCCGTCAGTGATATCTTCTTCAGTGTTGAAGTCAATCACTCGTTGTTCAATGGGTAGATCATATTGCCCAAGTGGGTACAGTCGGACAAATTTGTGGCTTTCCGCCACGGCGTAGAAAGGCTTTGCCATAGCCTTGGCAAGAAGGCCGATTTGGTAGGTTCCCATGCGAGACACAATGCCTCCATTTTCCACCACACCTTCCGCACCCACGATGACAATGTCCGCCTTTCCAAGTGAGTATGCAACGGCTGATTCTGGAATCGTAGCAACAGGGACACCCTTTGCGCGCAACGCGCGCACTGTTTCCATACCCTCAGGTTCCGCAGAAGAGTCCTTGGCAGGAGAAAGGACATAGATGACACGGAAACGCACCGCAGAAGGCCCACCCTTCTCATCAGCAGCCTTCTGCAATAATGAAGCGACGACTCGGGATCCACCGTTCGTCAATACTGTACTGCCATCCCGAACAAATCCCCTTCCAAACGCAGCAATCTTGTCTCGGCTTTCCTTTGCACGTCTGATGAACAACCGACCGTTCGAGAGAAGATGGGCTCTGATAGCGTTGAAATCTCCAGCGGGCCCTAGCTGACCTGGTCGCTGTAGCGTAGTAATCAGATACCGTTGGAAGAGATCGGTTCCAGCCGAGAGACCAATGGGATTAGGGATTGATTTTTTCAGGTGGGCGGTAGACTTTGCGAGTAAATCGAGGGTTTCTGATATCGTTGACGAAGGAGAGTGTGTGAGAAGTAATACCAAAGCTTCGATGGCAGCAATTGGCATGGTCAAGTCCGGATCCGAGCGAAGCAGCTCATTGTAAGTTGCGACAATGCTGGCGACAGATTAGCCTATTGCAAGACTCAAGGTTTAGCAGTGTATGAAACTCACTCGAAGGGCTTGGCAGCTTCTGATGGTGCCGGCGTAGTGGACGCCATAATGACTGTTTGGAGAACACTTGGTGACTTGATAGTCTCTTCAAAAGCATTAGAACTCAATATAGCGAAGAGTCATCGAAACCTTGAAAGCGACGTGGGTAGTGTTTGTGCTGTTTGCATCACTGCCCCTCTCAATACGCGCTAGTCCTGTTCGGTTGCCCTGCGAGGCCCTTGGCGGTAAACAATCATCATAACATTCAACTACCCACCACGATTATTTTCCGACCCGTATCGTTTCTGTCAGACTTCAGTTCAGAGTGAGGTCTGTCTGATAAAATGGCTTATAATCACCGAATGAGCCAGCAATTTCGTGGCTCCCAGCAACAGCACGGCAGAGGTCGCAAGAAGGAAGATGAGAACGATGCATTAATGCGCCTGGTCAGTATATTGCTTAAGCAGCCATCTGCCCATTACTGTAATGATTCTCTAACAGTGACAACAGCCTGATAAGGAGATTGCAGGATGTATTAACGATATCGGTATACCTTTCACTGCTGCAGACCTTATCAAGCCGAACCCCCAACAAATCCAGATGGTATTCGAATGGTTCGCTGAGCTCCTTATGAACATCACCCATGAAGCAGTGGAGCCTGCAATGCGCGCAGCGGCAGATGATGTTGGCGGCGACTTTCCCGATATTGTCCCTGCCGATACACGGAACCTCATGGGGTTCTTCGTCAGCCTAAGAAAGCTTCTGATGGAGGTGGGTGAAACCTTTACCAGGATTGTCACTGTCTATCTATCCTGTGAGCGCAGCTAACTCGTCTCACAACATAGTGCGGGGTCAACGATTTTACTTTTACGGACCTAACAAAGCCTACGCACGATCGCTTGGTCAAAATATTCTCTTATCTTATCAACTTTGTTCGATTTCGCGAGTCTCAAACGCCCGTCATTGATGAGCATTTCAACAAGTCAGAGAAGACCAAGGCACGGATTGATACCTTATATGCAGAGAACCAAGAGATGGAGCAACGCCTGGAGGAGATGCGCCGGAATCTACGAGCCAACGAAGCACAGGTAAAGGATAAAGTTAGGAGAAACGACGAATTAAAGGCGCGACTACTCGAGTTGAGACGGAACCAGGAGCGGGTTGCTGAGACATTGGAACGAGTCAAGGCAGATAAAGCTAGACGGCAAACGCAGCTAGAGGAGAAGACGGAGAAAGTCGTGCGTACCCGACAAGAGGTTGAGAAGCTCCGCCCATATGCCATGGAAAGTCCGGTCAGTCTCCAGGCCTCTCTGACCGAGCTGTCGGAGAATCTACTACGTGAGAAAGCTCAGATCGATGCGATGGAGAAAAGGGCGAGAGCACTTCAAACTTCATCAGATACGTTCACGGTCGTCAGCAATGATGTCCAGGCTTGCGTTAGGCTTCTTGAAGACATCTCTGCGGAGTTGCAAAAGGAGGAGGATGAAGAATCACGAGCATCTCGGAACAAGGAAGCGATCTCAGAAAGAGGCAACAGCGTCAGAGAAGTGGAACAAACTGAAAAGTTGCTGCAGCGACAGTTAGCAAGATGGAATGAAAGGATTGAAACCCTGCGAAAGAATGCGCAAGAGAAGGCAGAGGCAGCGCAGGCCCGGATGGAGGAACTCCGGGAGGTCCAGAAACAGCTTCGTGAAGAGCGCGCAGAAAAACAACGTGATATGGAGAGAAGGAGGATTAGAATTGAACAAACTGAGAAAAAGGTATGATTTCGGCCCTTCTGTGGTTGTTCCGATGGCTAACTCGTATCAGATGGTGGACCTCAAGGAAAACATCGAAAGCGAAATTCAAAGTGCCCATGATGAATATTTGAGGCTGGAATCGCATATCAAACTTTATATTACGGAAATGGAAAAGTGTATATGAGTCACGGAGTCATGTTGCTTGTTTTTTAGGAGTTATATGGTCGGCTCAAGGATACCCGGTTGGTTGCGGTTTTACACTAGCAAAACGATAGAACATAATTCCATAACATAACACTACTTCAATTCATTTATTGACCCAATGACGCTAGTAACTTTCATATCTGGGGCAGGGTGGCTTGATTCGATAAATTCGAACCACCGTTGGGCGACCCTGTTGACAGGCACACTCCGTCCAAGCCAAGCACTTCCCCCCCGTCGCACTGAACTGTTAAGCAATGGGACATTAGTGTACCATAGTATTTCACCCCGTTCGTCGTCATTCTGGGTTGAAGCATCTTGGCATTCGCAAAGCACAAGATCCATTCCCTCCCTTGAGGCAGCCTCAACAGCGGTCGCAAAAGTCCTGGATAATCCCTGAGCAGAGAACTCTGAAGTTTGCAGGTGCAAAGCTACTAGGTCAAGAATGGCCATTAAAGGCTTCTGTGTCTTTGGTTCTTCGGCGACAGGCCCTTGCATGAGGTCATCAGACGAAGGTAGCACAGAGAGATAAGCTCGAAGATTCTCTAATGTCGGGCAGTAGACGAGCTTGATTCTGTTTGACTCTGAGAGGAGTCCAATGGTTTTTGTAAGGATTGGGTGGCTCTCCGCAGTTTTGCTTAAATGAGCGTGCGTGATGGCGAGCAACTGCTTGAGAAAAGTATCTCGAGTCGAACAGATGATTAAAACTGTTCTGCTGGCGTCATGGTCGAGGATGTATTGTACCAAGTCTGTCACCCAGTTGCCAATATATATTTGGCGGGCTGGTATGATAGTTGTCATGCTTGTCCGAATGAAAGGTTAGGAACCGTAGCTGATGAAATGAAAGATGTCGTCATAGTTAAATACATAAACGATTTCATTCAAGCACCTTAAGCAGGAACATTGTTTAATACTGGTATTCAATGATACGTCGCGCGATGCCGGCAAGCTGAATTGGTGAGTTGCGGGGAGACGGGCAGCAGTTCATCTAATTAGTTCCATTTATTAGGTGTTATCGTCACCTGCCCGCTCTCCGCCGCAAACTCTCAACTCTTTCTACCCCCTTCACTTCCTTAGGGACAATACACCCACTCAAAACCAGAAATTTAGTGTGTGCCCCAAAGAGGGCCTTGGGGTCAAGATGGAGACTATCTCCCGGATATCGTCGATGCTGGAAACAGGTAATAGAAACGCTGTCATCCTCTTATGATAGAGCCCGCCGAATTGAGTAGCTGACTGTTTGTAGCTCGAGAGCTCACTCTTGAAGCAGCTCAGTCCGCAGCAATGACCAGAGGCTCCAGTACAGGCCTTACGTCCCACGACGTGACCATCTCACATATCAAAAAGCTACTCGATAGTCGTCATGATCGGGAAGTCCTGGATGGCATGCGCAGAGTGATCACGGTATGGAAGAGCTCCGGTTTGACCGAGTCAGTACTGTAGCTGACATTACCTTGCTTCTGTTAATTAGTTGATGTATCGCTCCGAGCCCTCCCTTCCTTTCTTCTCGGCAGTCGTCAAGAATGTCGCAAATGCGAATATCGAGGTTAAGAAGCTTGTTTACATCTACCTGGTTCACCACGCTGAGACCGAGCCCGACCTTGCGCTCTTGTCCATCAACACGATCCAGAAATCGCTTACGGATCAAAGCCCCCAGGTACGGGCCATGGCACTCCGCACAATGTCCGGCATCAGAGTGCCAGTGATCAGCCAGATCGTTTCCCTTGCAATTAAGCGTGGTTGCGGTGATATGAGCCCGCATGTCCGCAAAGCAGCTGCCCTGGCCATTCCGAAGTGCTATCGACTGGACCCGAGCACTCTGCCGCAGTTAATAGGCTACCTCTCTACGCTACTAGGCGATACCCAGTATTTCGTCGCTGGGCCGGCTGTCTCTGCTTTCTTAGAAGTTTGTCCCGATAGAATCGATCTTATCCACAAGCACTACCGTGCTTTGGTCAAGAAGCTTGTCGATATGGATGAATGGGGCCAGATCGCAACATTACGCCTTTTGACTATCTATGCCCGAAAATGTTTCCCCCCCAGAACCGAGAAAGTTAAACAAGCGGTATCGAAGGCTTCTACGATGATGAAGAGGGAGATGACGAGGGTGGCAAGGAATACGAAGTGCCCATAGTAGATCCTGATCTTGAGCTTTTTCTGCGCTCCTGCAGGCTACTTTTACAAAATCGTAATTCCGCAGTCATTGTGAATATCGTTCGCTGTTTCCTGTATCTCGCCCCGCCAGAGTACCTTGCTGCAGTTGTTGGTCCTTTGGTCGCTCTACTCCGAAGCCCTCAGGACGTGCAGCATATTGTGCTCTACAACATTGTTGCTGTTTGCTTGCGTCATCCCGCGCCTTTCAGAAAATATGTCTCTCACTTCCTCGTCCGTGCCTCAGATCCACCTCATATCTGGCGTCTAAAGCTTGAGATTCTCACGATCCTTTTCCCTCATTGTGGTATACACTTGAAGGGCGTGATTCTTAGCGAACTCGAACATTTCTCCCAGGGAACGGATCCCGACCTGGTGCGTGAGAGCGTTCGCGCAATCGGACGCTGTGCGCAAAGCGACCCTAGCACGGCTGGTCATTGTCTTCGCCTACTGCTCAACCAAATTATTAGCCTGGACGACAATCTAGTATCTGAATCCTTGACTGTGATCCGACATCTAATCCAGCAAGATCCAGCTTCGCATGAACAAACGGTCATTGAGTTGGTGAAACACCTCGGATTGACGAATAATCCGGATGCTAGAGCGACTATTGTATGGTTAGTCGGGGAATATGCGGGTACAGAACCGGAGAGGAACTTTGCGCCAGATATTCTGCGAATTCTGGTACAGGACTTTGCCAATGAGGCAGAAGCCGTGAAACAACAGATTGTTCTCTTAGGGGCTAAGGTGTATCTACACTACCTTATAAGGAACCCTCCCAAGGAGGAACAGCAGGCAAGCCCCAAGGTCGAGCAGCAATATAAGAATGAGTGGACCGACGATCAGGATGAGGAGAAAAACGAAGAAAACAAGCACGATGAACAGAAATCTGAACCGGAGGAAGATAGAATTACTCTCCTTTGGAGATATCTTCTCCTCCTTGCTAGATATGACAGCTCATATGATCTACGTGACCGTGCTCGACTATACAAAGCTCTTCTTTCTTCACCTTCCTCGACGCAGCTTGCGAACTTGCTGCTTCTCGCACCGAAACCAGTACCCCACGCCCCTAGCCCATCTGAGACAAGAAAGGATCTTTTGATTGGTTCTTCTACCTTGATTGTTGGCCCGGACGCGGGTCCTCATGGTCTCACAGGTTATAAAAACCTCCCTGACTGGGTTGAGTTAGGGAAAGAACCTGATCCCAGCCTTCGGGAACCAGATGTCAAATCCGAACTTACAGAAAAAACACCTGCGACTGCAGGTGAACGTCTTGATAGAGCCCTACGTGAGCATCAGAACACTGTCGCGGCTGCAAGTAGACAGCCGAACGGGCGCATGCCAGCAGCGGCATCGGCGACGAAGAATAAGACTCTCGATCAATGGTTAGAGGACGATGAATCTGAAGAAGAAACAGAGTCGGAAGAAGAGGTTACGGACTCTGAGGAGGAGACTGAAGAGGAGACTGAAGAGGAGACAGACGAGGAGGAAGAAGATGAGGAGGAGGAGACCGAAGAAGAGACAGATTCGGATGACGGTGAAGAAGCAAGGCAACTCTTAACCCAGAGTGATACGCATATTCAAGGATCCTCGAGGGATGTACTTTGATGATTTGGGGACATCTGGAACTACATGAACCTTGGGATAGAAACATATATAGAGGACAGCTTAGAAACTCAATAACATAGACTTATCGTTCAGGCTTGCTAAACATTCGAAAAACAAATCAATAGTTACAAGAGAATGTCACTTACCCGATTCAAGTACTTGTAAGTAGTGCAATGAATCTACAATCATGCCACCAACTTAGGGCATCCATTACCTGATTATTATGCCACCGGCTGGCCGGATTTCCTATTGCAGGCCCATACCCTAAGAAACATTATCACATGAGTCAGCTTTCGTTTATATGGGGATCCCTTACAACATGTGTATGTATCTTATCATTACTTTGGGTAATACCACTAGCTCAAAGATATAGATATCTAGAATTAATATGGTAAAGGAGATTGTAGACATGAAGCGATGCCTGTTTATATAATTTTTACGTTTTTAGGATAATGAAACATAATATCTTAAACTGCACCTCGAATTAAATAGATTAGTAGCTTATCTATAACTAAACAACCTTAGTGCTTACCGATTGTTGAATTATTGTAAAAATTCCATGTACCTTTTTATAGAGGTTGCCTACATAAGAGGTACAATGACCGCTGGGCCGGCCTGGCCGTTAAGCTTGCGGGGTCGTGTATACCGCGCCCCGAATTATTCACTAGTAGAGCACTATATATTACGAGGAACCCCATACAATGCAACCCCACCTCCCTTGCACAACATATATCCTTCCACGTCTACCACGTGTTGCCATTCCATAAGATGGCATGGTCAAGCCTGTCAGAAGTTTTGACGGCAGCGTCATTAGACTTAACCCCCTATGAGGATCTTTACAAGTATTTCCATGCGCATCCCGAACTTTCTCGGCAAGAGAAATCTACATCGGAAAAGCTCGCGGCACATCTGGCCCAGCTGAACGTCTATGAGCTTCATACCAACATCGGAGGATACGGCCTAGCGGGTGTGTTTCGAAATGGCGAGGGCAAGACTGTGCTCCTGCGAGCGGACATGGACGCCCTGCCAGTCAAGGAGATGACCGGGCTCCCTTATGCAAGCGTCTCCACCATGCGCGATACGGAAGGGAATGAAAAGCCGGTAATGCATGCTTGCGGTCATGATATGCATATTACATGTCTCCTAGCAGCAGCAGAGACGCTTGTAAAGATGCGGGATGCGTGGAGTGGGACTTTAATTGTGCTGTTCCAACCAGACGAAGAGCGAGGTGGAGGCGCGCAGGCGATGGTTGACGATGGGCTTTATTCTAAGATTCCGGTTCCTGATTACGTCCTTGGTCAGCACGTCATGAGAATGCGGGCTGGAAGTGTTGGCTCTCGCCCTGGAGCCATCATGGCTGCTGCCGACAGCATGAAGATCACAGTCTTTGGGCGTGGCGGCCATGGATCTCAGCCTCATCAGACGGTGGATCCAGTGATTCTTGCTGCACACATTGTTATTCGACTACAGAGTATCGTGAGCAGAGAGATCAACCCAAGCGACCTCGCTGTCTTGACCGTTGGAAGTCTCCAGGCCGGGCAGACAGAGAACATCATTACCGACAGAGCCGAGATCGGTGTTGACTTTCGATCTGTTAAATTAGAGATCCGGGAACAAATCATCTCTGCAATTAAGCGTATCGTCGAGGCTGAGTGCGCGGCGAGTGGCTCACCCAAGCCCCCTGTGTTCACTCCGACAAGGCGCTTCCCGCCTACCGTGAACGACAAAGATGCTGCATCTCAAGTTGCCGCGACATTCGCGACTCACTTTGAGGACTTCGATGACGACGTACCGCGAACCAACGTTAGTGAAGATTTCTCTACGCTGGCAACCTGCCGAGGGATCCCGAGCTGTTTCTGGCTTCTGGGAGGCATTGATCTTGAACTGTGGGATCAGGCACAGGCAGATTCTCGCACGGAAGAGATCCCCGGGAATCACTCGGCGCTTTTCGCACCTGTTATCCAGCCAACGATGAGAGTTGGAGTGGATGCGTTGTGCCTTGCTGCCTTGACTTTCTTGAAAAAGTGATTACTCGGGGCATGAAAGGACGGTTGCGAAATGCTGTACCAAGAATCTCTAGAATTGTAGAATGCTTGTGAAGCTTAGAACGCTACTAAGTATATCCGATAAACAGGTTGTAGACATTGCATATCTAAAATGCGCCAAATTCTGCGCTTGCTGGCATACATGAACATGCGGGATAGGGGGAATATCTAAATCAAGTACACAACAAGCGGCCAGCACCATATACCCATTTGAGGATAATGCCTCAAGCAAATAAATACCAGACGGACTTGCTTGTTATGTAAGGTTAGCGCCACGAACTCGAAGCGCAGGTCTCAGTCCAGGGTAACGCCTTGGTGAGAATAGTAGGGGTTGTATACTTCGCGAGGGAGTAAAAGGCGGCGAGGGTCTAGGCCCATTCCAGAAAGGGAAAGCCCTAACATACCTAGTAGCCTCCGCAGATATGAAGTTATTCAATACTATTAACTACTCCGCAAGTGCTCCGTATATCATGTTGAGGCGAGCGACCCCACGTGCTCACTTATCCATTTTAGGCTCCACTCCAGAAAACAGGCGGTGTGGTACGGCACAATTCAAATTAATTGGATCCGCTGCGTGCCAGTGGCACCGCTATTGTGATGACCGAGAGTTATCGATGTGTCCAGATCCTTTGCCGACGATGAATTGATTTCTAAGAAAACCCATTCGAGATTTTATGTCGCGATCCGAACCCTGCCTGGACATTCTTCTTGCCATCATTTAGCCCTTTGAGCTACACGGGCTCAGTTGGCACTGTTCACATACGTCCTGCTATATCTGTTGGTCATGATGCGAACTAGTACTGCAACAACTTCTCACACAGACATACTATACTTCCTCGACACGACCTGCGCACTGTTTATTTCCCTATCCCGACGCGCTCAGTGACATCTCGCGCTTAGAATATCTCGAAACTTGACCCAGTCGTTTCATCATCGTTCTACTATACCAGCATAGAAGTGTTTCCAATCATCCATTCAGATATATCCAAACAAAATGCCTGGCTTACCGGGTAAGTTAAGAACCCCACAGCCTCCTTGTCTGCGTATGTGTGTGCTAGACTAACTTTCATTGTGTCGTAGCGAGTATCGACCTAGACGAGTGTATAGAGAGGCTCTATAGAAAGGAGTTACTGGCAGACTCTGTGATTGAGGCAATATGCGCCAAAGCTAAAGAGCTGTTGATGAAAGAGAGCAATGTGGTCCATATTGCGGCACCGGTAACGGTAGTGGGAGATATTCACGGGCAATTCTTTGATATGCTTGAAATATTCAAGATCGGAGGCTTCTGCCCGAACACAAATTATCTATTTCTAGGTCAGTTCAGGGACTACGCAAATCCAGAATTCTGTTGGACCGTTCAGCTAATACTTCATGCTTTTTTTCACTACAGGCGATTACGTAGATCGCGGTTTATTCAGTGTGGAGACAATCTCCCTTCTTGTCTGCTTGAAGTTACGATACCCTCATCGTGTGCATCTTATTCGAGGAAACCACGAGTCTCGCGGTGTCACGCAGTCCTACGGATTCTATACCGAGTGCGTGCGGAAATACGGCAACCCCAACGTCTGGCACTACTTCACTGATATGTTCGACTTCCTCACCCTGAGCGTGGTTATTAACGATCAAATCTTCTGCGTGCACGGCGGCCTCTCCCCCTCCATCCATTCTATAGACCAGATTAAAATCATTGACCGTTTTCGTGAGATCCCTCATGAAGGCCCCATGGCCGATCTGGTCTGGTCCGATCCGGATACCGAACGCGATGAGTTTTCCCTTTCGCCAAGGGGAGCCGGGTATACATTCGGCGCGCAGGTTGTCCGGAAATTCCTCGAAGTCAATAGCATGTCTCATATTCTGCGGGCGCATCAACTATGTCAGGAGGGGTATCAGGTTCTCTACGATGACCGGCTAAGCACCGTATGGAGTGCACCGAACTACTGCTATCGGTGTGGTAATCTTGCCAGTGTCCTCGAAGTTAGCGATACCGGTGAGAGGTTTTTCAACATCTTCGACGCGGCTCCAGAGAACGATGTCCATCGCAACGAGCAGCAAGCGCAGCAGAATAAGGACGGACAGAACCCGGTAATTGACTACTTTTTGTGATACCCTTTTTTTTTATTTGTTTCCTTCCATGTCCCATTTATTCAATACAATCTTTTCTTGTTTGGAGTTTGGTAGATGATGGGCAAAGCATTTTATATAGACAGCATTGCGTTCAAATAGCGGTGAAGACTACCAGCAAATGAACACACAAGACTATATATATCTATGTGGTATTTGTATGTCTGGAGCACTTAGAGAAACGGGATCCAATTATTAGGACCTATATACGACAACCCAAGAGTGTGTGTCATGGGGATGTAGTTCTGAGAGAAGGTCAAAAATTCCAAGAACGCAGTTCCGTACAACGCTTGCAAATTTCAAAGAATGCTGGTCATGACAGAGTCGTAGTTCATCCGGGAACCGTCAGATTTACCAATCCTTCGCGATATCAAACGACCACTCGAACTGCAGATGGGTGTGGTCGTCGTCATCCAGGAATTTCGAAACCGCGTTGTAATGGCCCCGAGCGATTATTCCGGAGGGGGCCTCTTCCTCTTGGACTGAAAAAGAAACGAGGGAATTAGCACCTAGATTACGGCCGCAGACGCACCAGAGGCAGAGCAAACTTACACTTCTTCTCGTAAACGGGCTTGTCGGTGGTGTTGGGGGCATAGCTGCCCAGCATCTCTTCGTCCTTGCTAACTCTAATACCCTTTCTTTTCACGACCTGCAGGTACTTCAGACCGCTCAGGACCTCATGGTGCACCTGGAAGACGACCTTGATCCGGAAGTGGGCACCCTCCTTGATGGTGAATGGCTTGTCCTTGAGAGTATCAACTGCACCGGGCGCGGACACGTCGATGACCACATCGGAGCGTCCCTCAACCTCCAGGGCGAGAGACTTGATAATGCACTTTCGGGGGTCGTTGGGGTCTCCAATTGATGCACCGGTTGCAAGGCCTAGAGAGGCCTTCCAGCGGTTTAGGGATTCGTCATTCTTATCTGATGAGGATCAAGATTTAGCATAGGCGTATAGCATGATGGAAGAGGGTCAAATGGCCAGACTAGCTCGGGTGGCAGCTGGAATGGAGCCATAGCTCCCGTTCTTGCATAACGGCAAGGGGCGATGCCACGAGGCAGGGTGGTGCATCATGAAATTCGAGATTCACATATGGACGGAGAGATCTACATACCAAGCTCAGTGTACTCATTGATTGTCTTCTTCTCTCCAACCTTGAAACCCTCGGTCTTGGAGGCAATGAGATCTTCTTCGTGCTCGGGCATTGTGTCGGTAGGAGCTTGGTGGGGTATTAGTATATGTGGTAGTGTGTAGCCTAAGGGGAAGTGGGATGACTGAGGATAGATCACTTATGTAGAGTAAGTAGATCCGGGGAGAAAGGGGAGATATACGCAGCGTCAACGGGAATCCACAAGGAAAATTAAGTCTATTCGGCCCTGCAAGGATTTAGGTGAGAGTAGCAAAAAGAACAGCAACAATGAAGACTAAGAGGGGCGGTTTTGTTTTGGTAGTCAAGCACCGGTGGGGGATTCGTTGGCTCTCAGCCCACACAGTGGGGTGCAAAGAAAGGCGGTGGACAAGAGTTTCAGGGGAGGCCCAGAACGACGACGACGACGACGACGACGACGAGACATTTGATTCCAGAAATATCTCCTCACTTTTCCGGGTCCCAACGGGGGGAATTATGTTTGTTCTTGCTCTTTTTTCAAGGTCAATGGCTTTATTGTGACCACAACTATCTCAAAGTGAATTCCATTCGGTGCTGTAAATATGTACATCCTTGGGAGCTGTGGGAGTATCGGTAAACTCCAGTGGCGATGTCAAAATATACTCCATATAAAGCAACAGGTGAATTCTCCCTGCTTGACGCCTTTCCACTCTTTGTAGGTCAACAAACACGGTATGGATATGTGGCTGAGCCTTGAATGAGAATGAAGTGAAAGACAACAAGAAAAAAGTAAGTATCAATGGAACTGCTGTAGGACATCCACCAGAAGACCTTCCCAAGAGATCAATCAACTGTGATGAAACAATTCCTCAACGTATTTCCCGTCACGGGGCAACGGGATCTCCCACCCAACTTGATCAGGCCCTAAGGCACTAATACGGGTGACATACCCAAGCTTGGTCTCATCAGATACCGGGGATCAGCCGGTAGCCGCCGATCCATACCGTCCATGGAATGTCACATGACCTACCCGCATGGCCATTGGTGGAGGAAACTCTGGATGCCAGTCGTTCATTACTGAGTACGAACTGATACGGTATGTCGGGCGTACAGACCTTAACAATCGCCCGCCCGGTTTCCACCTCCATTTATTATTTTCCTCCCCTACTTATCGATTCTCGTATTGATCTTGAGTCAGCTACCACCTGGCTTGTCGCGGGTCTATCGTCTGTGTCCCACAGGTTAAATCGTCCGCCAAGTCGATCGTGATATTATCATCAGGGCATCCTACGTGGTGACGTATTATCACCTAACCCTCGACCAAAGCGGCGAGAGACGCGCCTGCAACGTGGCCGACGTTCTGGCGTCGCATCCTGCTTCACATCACCTCGGAAACTGCTGCCACAACATTCGACCCTCATCTCTAGTTTAATATTTGACCACCCTGACCATTCATCATGGCGCGCTTACTGCCAAAGAAGAACAATCCCCACATCCTCCCACCGGAGACTCCTACCTGTAAGTTCCGACATCGTTTTGTCGCGCGATCCCCAGGGCTCGCTCACCTCCCATCGCGCTTCGGCTTCAAAGCTTGCGCCTGGCTGACATATACATCTCATTGTGACTGTAGACGAGGAACTCTTGCGGTGCCGACGTTTGGGAAAAACAAATCTCACGGTGAGACCTACAGTGATCGGTACGTCGAATGCGACAAAGCCGGAGAACCTTGGACCCTTCGAATATGCGCATTTGCGCGTGAAGCTGCCCAGGGACCTCAAAGGCTCTGAAATATTTCCTTCACATAACACCCAGCAACAACCGGAGACGTACTTTTTGATGGTGAGTCGCCTCCCTGTACCCATCTGTCGGAGTAGTGGCATCGTGTAGAACCGAGAATTAACGCGCGACTTTTTTTTTTGTTTTACCCCCACAGCGACGCAGCAAAGATGGATACGTCAGCGCTACCGGGATGTTTAAAATTGCCTTCCCCTGGGCAAAATTGGAGGAGGAGCGGACTGAGCGTGAATATGTGAAGGCTCGTAAGGAAACCAGCGAGGATGAAATCGCCGGAAATGTTTGGATCTCGCCAATACTAGGTAGGCCCCTTCAATTGATGCTGCTCGCGAACATGCATATCTAACTGTTCGGTAGCTCTCGAGTTAGCAAAGGAGTATCAGATGTATGATTGGGTACGAGCATTGCTTGATCCCACCGAGATTGTACAGACCCCATCCAGTACGAAGAAGCACATGCAGATCACCCCACCTCCTCGATTCGATTTGCCCCCGATTGAAGCACCAGCCCAGCTTACTGCGGCACCGCGCCTGCGAAGAGGCCGGTCTGCTTCCCCCAGCAAAAAGCTCCCTTCCCCACAAAAGCTCTCTTCCCCGCGCAAGGCAAGGAGCACGAGAGCTAGGGAAGTCAAGGACGTGAAGGAGGCAACCAGTGAGGCAAATGCAAACCTTCAGTCTGCCTTGGATGCTACAGCCGAGTCCGGATCGGTCAATGGCACCATCCAACCCAGTGTGGAACGCGATGAAGAGAGAGTGGCCCCTACTCCCAAGAAGTCTGCGTCAACACCAAAGTCCACGAAGACACCCAGAGCTGCCCGGGCAAAGGAGCTTAAGGAGCTGAAGGAGCTCAAAGAGGTCGAGGAGGTCGAGGAGGTCGAGGAGACCAAGGAGACCAAGGAGACCAAGGAGACCAAGGAGACCAAGGAGGAGAATGTCAAACTGGAGGTTGGAACTAATGCCGACGAAGCCAAAGATGTACAAACGACCCAGACCACCGTCTCGGTGGAATTACCCGTTTCTCTCCTTCCGGATGCTCCATCTGCGGAAGATACCGAACAAATGATTGCCAAGGCCAAGGAAATGGTAGAAGAGGCTGCTAAGCTTCAGAGCACAGAGGAGGAGCCCGTGCCATCGTCATCAAAGGCTGCTAAGAAGCGCAACATCGAAGAAGCGCTCAGTGACGACGAGGAGGACGAAGAAACAAAGGCCCTGCGGACCAAGAGGGCAAAGGTCTTGGAAGAGAAGTTGAAGCGTGAACGTGTTAGGAACCGCGCTCTTGTCGGCGTCACTGCTGCTTTTGCACTTGCGTAAGTTGGCCGACTTCCCTTACTGTTTATTCCTGAGCTAACTCATCACCAGGGCTTCCATTCCTTATTTCTTTTAGAGGTTCTATTACCAGCTGTATTGGGCGCCTTCCTATGGAACAATTGTCCCGAGTGACCGTCGCGTTTTCCATCGATGAACACTTCCTTTGCCGAACCTTGTCCCCATTCGCCTTAGGTTCTAGATTGCTCCCTCCTTTCCCCCGGAAAGGGATCTAGTTCTCTCGACCTGTATACCCTCTCCCTGCAACCACTCTTCTAGCTGCATTGTGATTTTGCCCTCACAGAACTTCCTGATGTATCGTATTTACACCCTTACCCTTTCTAATCTTTGCGCGTTGGTTGCAAGAAGGAGAGCCCTTTTCTCGGAAATGGTGGTCATTGATCGGCTTTTTGATTTCGCCCGGTGGTCCTGGAGATCAAAACACTCTCTACATGCGCATTCTCCTATTTTTTTCCTGGATACCTGATATACTAACTATAATCCTTTGTTTCTTTTCGCTGCCTCTATTGATCGGATGGTTTTTGATGGGCACTCGGGATGGTCTCTTATGGTTCGGTAGCACAGGATGTGAAATGCAAATGCAATAAAAATGAGATGATGTAGCCATGGTATACTATGCAGGCTGTTTTCTATAATTCCCGTAAAGGTAGGGGTTTACTCTTAAAGTAGGGCATTTTGTAACCGACGTTGTAGTTAAGTTAGTCTGGAACCTTTCCGCTGCAAACATGATAAACACCGTCACCTCCGCCGTTAGCTTGGATAATGATCTTTAAGCTCCCCGAACATCTTGTCGTGGTTTGTTAGGAAATAGCGCCGGTTTTTTTTCTTTTTTTTCCCTCTTTATTTCTCATTTCGTTTTGGAATATAGGATCAGTTGATCCTACCAATGCCATGTCTCTCCCCGGCCTAGACCTCACACAGCCGTCGGCGGACAACCAATTTGCGCCCGCACCACCGACCCAAATCAGTTTGTCGAAGGACTCCGAGTGGAGATTTGAGGTTGCTTTCGGCACAGTTATTCGAGTCAAGGTGAGTAGGCCACCACAAATCTAGTTACGACCCATACATGAAAGTCATAACCGCGACTGACCGGTCCTTCCCAACCATTGGAGGGGTAACTATAGCTCCTCGCTGGCACCGCAGAACTCTTTGGCACCGAACTAGCTCCGTCTCAAACATACACCTTCTCCGGGACGAAAGGCGCAATATACACCTGGCATGGTTGCACACTGGAAGTGAGCGCGGGGGACACAGGACCGTCCGTCGATGGATTGGCACCGGGTGGACTGGGCGGCGCGACACCTCGCGGGCTCGGCGCGGGAGGTTGTCAAAGCGAGTACACGGCGGAGGAGACCCCGATGGTTGAATACGCCAATGTGCATTTTGCGCTAGAGTCCATGCGTCAGGAGGCGAAAGCGACTGGGAAAGACGGTCCGCGCGTGCTGATTCTCGGCCCGGAGAATGCGGGAAAGACAAGTGTCGCGAAGATCCTGACGGCCTATGCGACGAAGGTGGAGAGGCAGCCTATCGTTGTCAACTTGGATCCGAACGAGGGCATGCTTAGTGTCCCCGGGACGTTGACAGCGGCGGCGTTCCGCACTATGATGGATGTTGAGGAGGGATGGGGGAGCAGTCCTATGTCGGGGCCCAGTGCTGTGCCTGTGAAGCTACCGTTGGTCTACTTTTACCCGATGCAGAATCCGCTGGAGGCGGAGGGGTCTGTTTACCGGCCTATTGTGTCGCGGTTGGCGCTGTCGGTGATGGGACGCATGGCGGAGGATGAAGAGGCTAGGGAAACTGGTATTATTGTGGATACGCCGGGGGCTTTAAGTCAGGGTAAACCTGGAAGCCTTGAGATGATCAACCACATCGTGACGGAGTTTTCGAGTATGTTCCTTTGCTTGGTTTACTTATTGTGTAAGGTGGGCATGCACTGACGGATGACAGTTACTACTATCCTTGTCATTGGCTCGGAACGCCTATACAGTCTCATGATGAAGAGCTACGATAACAAGCCGACGTCTGGCGCTTCCGCTGTGGCCTCGGACGAGCGCATTACGGTCGTGAAGCTCTCCAAATCCGGTGGATGTGTCGATCGTGACGCAACATTTATGAAGGGTGTACGGGAGTCCCAGATCCGGACGTACTTCTTTGGAAACCCTATTCCGTCCACTGCATCTGCCGCTCTTTCACTCTCAGCATCGTCCACTACCAACGTGACGCTATCTCCACACGCCCAACAGCTTGAATTCAACACACTAAGTATCTACAATTATACCATCGCATCGCTAGAGGAAGACGAAGACGAATATGACCCGTCTCAACTCGGCGCCGGTGACTCGTTCCTCCCCGGAGGAGGCAACGACGCCGAGGTCAGCCAGACCCAGCCAGACGAGCCTGCTCGAGCGACCCCTTTGCCCGGTATAGTATCCAGCATCGAGAGCGCCACTCCCGCCATGGCCTCGAATGTGCCGTTGAAGAAAGTCTCACCCCCTGCACCATCCACCCTCGCCAATTCTCTCATCGCCATCACCAACGCACCCACGACCGCCAGTGCAGCCGAGGTGCGGGACGCCAGTATCATGGGATTCCTGTACGTGGCCGAAGTGGATAGCGAGAAGGGCAAGATCCGTGCTCTGGCCCCGGTGGGCGGACGAGTGCCCCCGCGGGCAATTGTCTGGGGAAAGAAGTGGCCCGGAGAGGTGGTGGGTTTGGTGGGATAGGGTAGTCGTTCATGGGTATATAATTCAAGAGTACTGGAGTTCGGTCGGGTGGGCACTGGTTCAATGATTGCTAGCCACGGTTCGACCTACAAGTCTATAGCCGATTTCAATATGTATAGGTCACGTTTACAACTACTCAAAATGACCAGTCAAGGCATCAAACTTCCCCTTGCAGCCTATCAGGATACTAGTCGCTGTGGGTATGTTGGTTGTACCTCAGAATGAAACCGATGAGGTCACCAGATAACTAGAGATCAGACAATATGCAGTAGATTCTCGTTCCCATCCAACCAAAACCGAACGGTGTTGCTTGGCGCTCCCATCGGGCAAAACCCAACACAGCCACTAAACAGCGCTGCATGTCAGAAGTACTACTAGTAGTAACACAGTACTACATATAAGCACCAGCGAAATCCCCCCTACGTCAGACTAGAATTAGAACGGGTGCTCCATGCGATACACAGTAAACCCCACTCTAAAGCACAAGGGAAAAACAGTATACATACCTCCGAATCCAGCCATCTCCCAACGAACAACATATCATGAACTGGCTCAGACGGCTCCTCCCCATCACGGACCCGCAGCTCCGCCGGCAGAAAAAGGCCCAGCGACACCGCGGTCGGCAGGCCCGGGCTCGGGAACGTGAACTGCGCCGCCAACGGGGCGATTCAGTTCGAAACGCTAAGTTCTTTACCCGCGGAGGGCCCGTCGCGGTCGTCTGGTGATTTTTTTTTGTTGTTGTTTGGTATGTGTTGCTTTTAGGCTCTCTGCATGTCATGGCATGGCATTCCTATTCTAATCTTATCTATTATGTTTAGTGACTACGAAAGAAGTATCTGATATCCTACCATACACACACAGAGAGAGAGAGGGAGAGAACATTCAATACATAACGAATCACCACAAACCGATCCGACACCGCCTCCTTATCGCTATCAAATCCCCGATCAAACCAACCTCATACATACATACGGAGTAGTATACATACCGAGTTCACCCCCCAAAACCAACCAACCAACACCAAACCCCCCCCCCTTACAAAAAAAACCAACGAACAAATTAGAAAAGAACAAACAGAAAACAAGAGGAAATGCTCCTCCCACGCCGCAAACTCAAACGCCTTCTATTAACCATGCTGCTCCCGTTCCTCCTCACGCTAACGCTGCTCACCCCCTTCTACCTGATCTACAAGCCGCCGTCGCTGCTGATCCGCTACTTCCAACACCGCTGGCCGGACACTCTCTGGCACGTGCCGCTCCCCAGCAACAAGAAGCTCATTGCGCTGACCATCGACGACGCGCCGTCCGTGCACACCCCCGAGCTGCGCGCCGTGCTGGCCGACAACGCCGCCGCCGCGACCTTCTTCCTCATCGGGTCCCAGATCCCCGGCCGCGAGGCGGAGCTGCATGAGCTGGTGCGGGCCGGCCATGAGCTGGGGAACCATGCGATGCGCGACGAGCCGAGTCGGAGTCTGAGTGATGGGGAGCTTCGCGAGCAGGTGCGCGTGGTGCAGGATCGCATTCGCGCGGCGTATTCGGCGGTCGGGCGCCGGGAGCCCCGCGAGAGGTGGTTTCGGCCTGGGAGTGGGTTTTTCAGTGAGCGCATGCGGGGCGTGTTGGGGAGTTGGGGTTCAGGATTGTGCTGGGCAGTGTGTATCCGCATGATGCGCAGGTGAAGTGGTGGTGGGTGAATGCCAGGCATATTCTGAGTATGGTTCGCCCGGGGAGTATTGTGATTTGCCATGATCGGCGCGAGTGGACGGTGCCGATGCTGAAGGTTGTTTGCCGGAGTTGAGGAGGAGGGGTATGAGATTGTGACGGTCTCCGACTTGGTTAGGGCTGGGTGGAG